CTAAGGATGTAGGACTTATTCGTAGACTCCTATGCAAGTCCTTTCCGATACTATACTCAGATACAAGATTTATTCAGAGACCTCTATGCAAGTCCCAAGATATACGACTTATTTACAGACTCTTACACAAGTCCTTTCCAATACTATACTCAATATAGGATTTATTCGTAGTCCCCTACACAAGTCCTAGGATACAGGACTTATTCACGGACTCCTGCACAAGTCATTTCCAATACTATATAGGATATATGATTTTTTCATAGACTCTTATTCAAGTCCCAGGATACAAAACTTATTTGCAAACTCCTACACAAGTCCCCAAATACAATAGGATCTTCTCAATAATATACTGCAAATCCTTCCCATTAGTATATTGAGGATGCAAGACTTATTCCAGTACTATATCGAGGATGAAAATTATTCAAAAACTCCTATGTAAATTCCTAGATATAACAAGATTTTCCAAATAATATACTGAGGATGCAAGACTTATTTGTAGACTTTTACGCAAGTCCCAAGATACACTAGGATTTCCCCAGTACTAGATTAAGGATGCAGAATTAACAAATTATTAACCTTAAAAAAAAAAGAGAAATAGAGAAAAAATGTCGTATCCAATGTATTTGACTCCTATTAATTATCAATATTTATAAAAGGAAGCATTGATTATTACAGTTATAATTAATTGCAAGAGTTAAAAATAATTAATTTTAAAATGTTGATCATTTAAAATTAATTAAAACTACAATGATAAGATCTCATTAAAATCAATACTAGTTAGATTTTACAACTTGTAATTAATAAAATAATTATTTTAAATTTACATGATAAATAATTTTATGAATAAATTAACCTTTTAAAATATCTCAAAATATACATCATCTCCAATATTTTCTTCTTTTATTTCTTTCTTACATTACTTTTTTATTCTCTTACACTTTTTATCCCCTTACTTATTTCTCAAGCGTTAATACTAATAATGATGACCGATAAATGTACTTTCAATATTAATTTTAGATGTGAATAATCTCAAATACAATTACTTTTGTTTTTTTATTACATAAATAAATATGCATTAATTAGATAAAAGAAATTTTAAATTTATTTAAATAAAATTTTTTAGTAAAAAAGTTGGATAAAATAAATAAGTGATTGATTTAAGGTAAAATTTTTCCGACTTTCAAAACTTAAGCATAAATTTATCTTTATACTTTCATTAAAAAAAATTCATCCCCTGTTATATTTTATTCATGCCTTTTATGGTTGAAATGTCAGTGTGATTCACGATAAATTTGTCTTTCTATGAATTATGGATCAAATATTCATTAGAAATAGAGTTCTATTAGTTTTTTTTTATAATTTAGATAAAAATAAATAAAAGAATGAACTTTAACTCATTCTTCAATTACTTGCGACCACGATCCATGGAAGACTTCCTTAAAGTCGATCACAAATTATTATTATTATAAATATTTTTTTTTTGGAAGTTTCTCCTCATAGCTTCACGATCCATTTCAAATTTTTAATGTCTAACACAAAACTCTTTGAATTCTTGTATACAACTCAAGTGAGTACTCCACTCAATCAGAGTGTTTGACAATGTCAAAACTAACAAAAATATTTAAAAATTTAAATATAAAAGAGAAATAATTAAGTTAAATTAAGAAATATTGAACAAATAAGAATCATAGAAAAGTTTTGGAAACAAAAAATGTATATCATCTTGTATAGATAAAGTTCTCATAAATAAAATTATGTATAGATAAAATTTAAACACTTCAAATTCAAAATTTATCTATAATATACAAAATCTAGTAGCAACAGAAGTTTAAATTTAAGTAAAAACCTTAAAATTCAACGTAAAAAAAAATCTATTTTTTTTTAACCTATCAACGTTCATTCAAATATTTATTTATAATGATCAAAGAATTAAACAAGCAACAAAACCAAATCACCCTCCTTATAAATAACAATATATATATATATATATATATAATCAAGAGAAACAATGTTATAAAAAATGAATAATATAACTTATTTATGTACGCATGTTTTTCTCATTTAAGCGCAAATTTTTGTTATAATTTTAGATAATACTACCTCCAACTCTAATTATAAACAACTTAAGACAAATCATAAA